GTCTAATGGAACTACCCCATGGGACAAGTAAATGAATTCATTTTCTGCACCAATACAAAGATTTCAAGGAAAAAGATTTGTACCAATTTGATTTTCTTGATGAAACGTGGATATTCCAAAATGGCACTATACAACGCTCATGGCAAAATAGCAATGGAAGAAGTGTGAAAGCTATCAAAACTGATGGAAAGCGGTTGGCTTATTATTAATAGTGGTAACAATAATTATAGCAAAAAATATGTTACAGATAAATAATTCTGCATGCTGGAAATGAGAAAGGATTCATACCTGGTGCAAATTTAATATTTGCATCAAAAACTTCAAATGGTGATTATCACGGAGAAATGAACCAGACGAATTTCTTACATTGGTTTCAAAATTGGTTTCAGCGAGTAATTTTTATTACAAGCTGAACTCCGCCCTTTGAGCTGTAATACTATCATTTTCCTTTCTACATTTTGCAGCTGCTACTCAATAAAGGCATTATTATTGTTATTATTATTAAAATCAATTGCTGCCAAATTAAGTGAACCGTGTGCCATTATTATCGATAATGCGCCATATCACAATATGGAAGTTAACAAAGCACCTAATGCTTCATGGAAGAAAAGGTGACATTCAAACCATTGAAACATATTGGTAGAGATAGGAGAACAGAGGCTGATTGTTTAAATATGTGGTAAGAAGCAGTTAAGGTCGTGACACCAAATATGTGTAAAAATTCAATCAAACACAGAAGGTGAAATAATGAATTGGTATAAAAGAGAAAAAATGTTAGATATACTGTCAATTTAGGGAAAGATAGTGACAGTGACACAGACGATTCTTGTTAATTTGCAAATTAAGTAATTTGTATTTATTTACACTGCAAGATTATAAAAGAATTACATAAAAGTGACTTATTACTGCAAAATACTATCCCTAGTTTTGATGATCAAGTATGACATATAAATTGTGAAGCCTTTAAACTCGTCTTTAAACCATGTAGAAAGGTTAATTAAATCAAATAAGAACGACGTCAGAAAATTAATGACGTGCAACGGAAAACTTATTATTTTACCTATATGTAAGTATTTTGCGTTTTAATTCGTAGATGTTTGAATATTTAGATAAAACTTCTTTGAGAATTTGTGACATTTTTTGACGTTTCGTCAACCTTATCTGAAATAAACTAATTAAACAAATCGCCTTTGAAATGATTTGAGAGCAACCATGAAAACGCATTTTCTATAACTGTTACAAAATAAAAATGTTAGCGAGTTTGTTGTTTTTTATGTTATCGATTTAAAAGAAGTATAATAAAAAATATCGTTCATTACACGTCCAGAAATGCTTTTTCCGTGCTTGCATGACTTCCCGTGTTTGTCTGCGCCTCACACGGGAATTTGCCACTCGCGCACGGAAAAAGCCTGCTTTCCGGACTCCTAATGAAATATACTATTTCGTAATTGGTCAGCAGAAGTCATTGATGTAACGGGTGTCCTACCCATAATACAGCACTGTATGTATGGCTCTTATTCTTTTCCATTGAAAACATGATGGTATGCAAACATATTTAGTGATGACGTCATTACACCGATGACGTGCGCGCAAACTAAGGAAAACCTTACTATATAAGTTTTATAGTGAAAAGGGCATTTCCCATTTTCTAATCGTTTCCACAATCCAGAGACTATCGGTACAAAATTTCAGCCAAATTGGGCCGTTCGTTACAAAGTTACACGTAATTAAATTACTGTTAATCTCAAAAAAGATATTTGCCACTTTCTAACCGCTCCCAAAAGCTTTTTCATTTTTTTCATGCCGCATGCACATACACATATACACACATACGTATGTACAGACATATTTAAAAAGCGCTTTTTTGGACTCCTGGGGCCTTGAAACGACGCACTTTCTACCCTTTATTTATGTGAAAAAACTATACCCAATTTTGTTGGCACACACTTACCTGTTACACCCTGTATTCAATAGTTAATATCGGTATCTTTGGTTGATTAGTGCAAGCTAATTTTGTACGCGCCCATTTGGGCAATTCACTCTACGTTTACTTTACAAAGAACTAACGCACAAAGGCACAAACTACAGTCAAGTGCACACCATAGACGCAATATCTAGCGATATCAGCTATATGTAGGTACTGCATATTGTTGTTATTGGAAGATTATCAGCTATTAAACTTATAGTTCACTGTCAACAAATACCAAATAAAAATAGACTGATACTACCACGAAAAAAGTAGCACGTGACATACATGTACCAATAACATGCGTGTGCGAACTGAACTTTCGCAAAGGCGATTGAAAACCCATGAAATTGTTGGATAAACCTGGACCTGGTCAACGGGAACGTCCCTGACGGAAACATACATTTAGCAACAATAGTTTTAAATTTCATGAAATTTTGTCAATTTGTTTTGTTCCTTCTTTTAGATACATACATTATTCCTGTGACATCCGTCCTCAGGTAAGTAATAGTACATTATATACCAAGGTAGAGAAGGCTAGTGTTGCCTGTCACCAAGATTACGTCCCGAGGCACTTGCGAGGTCTCCGCTCAATTTTTGCGATCGCACAAAGTCAATCGTGCGATTTTAAGAGAGATCGCCAGAATCAAAAAGTACTGAAGAATATAAAATCGCTCGAGCAAATCTTTGCGAATCGTGGAACAATTATAAAGAGTCTGTGGGTGTGAATTGTAGTAGGGTCTATGTTAAAGATTAATTTTTAACCCTTTTGGATAAACGGAACATTGTTAAAAAATGAAAAAAACCAACAATACGCAATAACTATAAAATTATAAGTAAATGTATTTCCATTCTTCTAAAATCTATGCAAATTGGTATGTAAATTCGAAAGGGTGTTAACGAGGATACATAAATTTGCATACCTTTTGAAATTTCGTGCAAAGACTTACAATTGTTTCTATAAATAATTGATAATAATCAAGGTGTCGAACTTAATAAATAAAATATGTCACTTGTTTTTACAAGTTTGCATAACTTTTATACAAGAATAGTTACGTACTGCGGATTGTTGCTTTTTCAATTGTTGACAGTGTGCCGTTCATCCCAAAGGGTTGCAAATTTAATTTGCAACTTGTAAGCGACTTTAGCAAACTTTTCGAATTTTACTGCCACTGTTGTCTTTAACGACTGGCTTAATAGTCGGAAATAAAATACGTAACGCAATTTTAGTTTGAACGAAATTCGCTTCACTGCAGCATGTAAACATATTCGGCTGCTATCATTGCAAGTGATTAACTCAGTTGTTTGCAAGAGAGCAAGTCACAAAGGGTTCAACTGTATCCATCCCAAAAACGATCCAATTTTTCTTGGATTTTAATATCTTGTGCTGATCTGCGGAAATTAATTGCATTTAATGATTAAATAATTCGATCCAATTATTTAATTAATTTGCATGAATTCAAATGTGGTGTATCCATACCGTGTGTATAAATATCTTATGTAAAAAATTGCTAGGAGGTTGCGGTTGAAACCTCGTTACGAGATAGGGGTTGATTTTTCTGTATTTAATAATAATAATCGTTACTTGATTTTAATCCGTGCCATTCGTTAACCAGGCTAGACCTGAGTTCTCACAAGAAATACCGACCATAATAATAATATTGCCTGTATTTATCAAAGGAAAGAAAATGAGCAAAAGAAAAAGTTAGTGCAAGGCGAAGTTCAGATTGACAATAAAATACTGCCATCTGTTTTTGCACTTAACCTATTTATAATTTATAGGAAACAAATTAATATTTAAATCTCAAAGTACAAAGGAGAATAGAATTGGATGGACTTTAGAATTTATTCAATCAATCATTAATTTGGGAATTCATATTTACTGGTCTGTAGTCAAACCAGAGCGTAAAGTTTTGATTTTCAGATTTAAAAAATTAGCTCCAAAAATAATCTAAACTGTATGTTGTCACTTCACTTAACAAAAATTCTATGTAAAAAAATCCGCTGAATCTGAAAATCATAGTCCCCCTGTCCGGAAACTCCCGGAACATATTGTTATAAACAACAAACGAAGAAAAAATGGGAAAATGTAATTTATTTTCCCATTTGAATTCAATTATCTTGTTAACTATTGCTCTGACCGAAAAAGTGAATAGAAATGAATTTGTTTAGAATTTGTATAAGATCCAGTTGATATATGAAACGTTCATTTTCAAATGTTATTCTTTTTCATAAAAAAATATAAAAAGCAATCTCGAAAATTAACCATCTATTATTACTAAGAAAAATTCATCCAATCTTTTTGAAAATTCGCGTTTGGCCACTTCTTGCAATATTGACCAAAAATGTGCAGTTGACGTATTTGTTAATTACATTCATGTAAACCCACTATCGGAATACAAGGTAAATTCTTTTCAATTTACATTAATAGTTGAATTAGAGATATAATATGTGTTAGGCATCTATACTTAATTTTAACTGTGTAAAAGAATTCGGCAACAAAGGAAAGGGAGCGCAATTTTAGATTCTGATTTAAATGATGCGCTTAATTAAGTGATCAAATTTCGAGCTTTACATCGTACACTAGTTTCTACTTCCATGGTTTAAATTCGAAAAATCGTACGAGGCTATTGGCGCGTACATAATACGAATCTTTTCCTTGCGTTCAGAAGATTGTCGAATGAACTGCAATGGACGAATCGTTGGTAGGTAGGAAGCTCTTGTCCTGTAATTGGAACGTTTGTTTTTGTGTTGAACAATAACGGAAATTTAATTTAATTGAATTAATAAATCAAAAATGTAGATCCAATTCCTTTCATAGATGGATGAAAATCAAAATTTTCATTGTCTAAATGTGTAGATAATTAGTTAAAAAGCTAAAATTAAATGGTTTTTGAACTCATAGTGTATGCCAAATAAAATAATAGGTACCTAATGAATCTGTGAACTTACATAAACGTTTATAGTAACACACTATTCTAAAGAGGCAGAGTAGTTATCCGAATCTAAATATATATAAGATCGCACGCCTTACCTATAAAGAAAATTAACTCCTTCAAAGTGAATTTCAATGCGGCACTTAAAAAGCCGAGGTTATCTCACCCACTGAATATTTGGAAATAAACTAATGCAATGCCTTCGGCGGCATCATTTAAACTGATTAAAAAATGGATGTATATAATAGATAAGAATCCATAATGAGATGTAGATAATTATGTATAATTACAATATTTCTACAATTAAGGACGCCCACGAAGTTAATTGAATGAGTCTCATATACCAAAAGATGCGTATACCATGCATGCGTATGTCCCGCGGCAGCCAAAATCTCTTGCTTTGCTAGTATTATAATCAACGTGTCCTCTAGGGCCAGTGCGTTGACTTTGTTTTTAAGCGTTACCGGTTCCGAGGACCGGTGGATAATTGATAGTCACACCTAATTAGCATTATTGCAATCTGGTCATAATGTTTGAATTATAGACACTATAAAGTTCATCAGGTAACCCATAACCTATTGGGACTAATTCACCTCGCGAAGAAAGATCTTGCGAAATTTTTTGGAAAATAAACTCTAACCGAAAGAGCCATCTAGAAGGTACGAATATCCTTAATTTGATCATACTGGCACACGTTTGAAATATCTATTGTCGTGGAGTCCAAGTTTATGGAAATCCATGAAACACAAAACAAAGCATTAGTTAATGACCACACCTAACCATCCTTCCGCCCCTTGTTTTACAAGATACAGAAAAGTACATAAGAACGTTGCCTTTACAAAATTCCCGATTTATACTATACTACCAGTTTCCATATATAATTCAATCTAAATTTCAGAGAAAAATCTGTTTCTCTATTTTGGAGTGACTATACTTTCCTCTTTACTTATATATTATTAATATCTGCCGTTAAAGTTTCATGAAGCCTCGTAAACATACAGACCAAGGCAGCAAATAGGATACGTGACAGCTTTTAAATAAAGTTATGGGCCGGGTACAATACCGTATATATTTTTAGCTTTTTCCAACTCGTCTTGGAAGGAGCCCTTATCATTTTCTCCGTCCGTTCGCACGAAGCAACTGTTCTTATAGTTTTCAACAAAAATATTTCGTTATCGTTTTTTGTAATCGGTATTCTAATACTAACGATTCTACAACAGTTAAATGAAAAATCACTAAATCTGTTTTTCGCGCATATCTAGTAAACTGTGGATTTTTTTTAAAAAACAAAAGCATATCTTGAATAAGCTCTTAAAACTACCACTCTTTCCTCATTTAACCGAATCTCTATGTCTTACGGTTTCCGAAATCTTAATGCTTAAAATGAAAAAAAAAACTCACCCTGTATATTATATATCTCGATTTTTGTAATAATAATAATAATTTTATTCGTCCTTTGAATTTGAACGTTGTGGGATAAGTCATTACAATAGAAATACAGACAATACAGTCAGTAAACACAACTCACAAAAGAAATATAACATACAAATTCGACTTGGTTTATAATCTGTCATCAAAATATTCCTTAAGGGATTTTTTTAAAATAAATTTTCCTGATCCTTTAGCAACAAACATATAGCTCCCCGCATGCTGAAGTTTTCAATGCACTAATTTTACAATTTACACTTTGCAACAATCTATTCATTCGATTTGACTGGGAGTGGTATAAATTCTTTCGCTTAGTTCTTGAGAGTAATTTACAAAGAGAATCATACATGTATGTTTTACAGAAACGGAGAAATAGCGAGTTTTCTATGAAAAAACATGATTTCACTTTTGCAATTTTTTTTCGTTTTTCGCTAATAAAAAAGTTCTGACCTACTCAAAATACTTGTAATTTTAGTATGCAATAGCTATCAATGAGACCTATCGATTGATAATATACATGCCGCCTGGTTCTACGCCAATGTCGGCTATGGCCATAATTTTGCTGCGATTTTACTCCATCGCAATAGCACACATCAAGAGAGGGCGCTGTGCTTTGTAAGTATGGCCGCTTGTTTGAGGACAGCTGATTGAGCTGATTCATTTGTGTATGGATCACATAAGAGATCAGTTGTATTTTACAAACCTTTCGTTTTCGAAATATGCATTATCAGTATTAGTGACTTATTAACGTATGTGGGTGTTGGCATTCGACCTTTGAAGGAAGGCAAGGCAGTGTTAGAAGCTAAACACATAATATGTGGTTTGTGGTAAACAAAATGATGCGATTGTAGCACTGTGCTTGCAGACCTCGAAATTAACAGACCATCCACATAAAATAACATTTAATTTTCATTAAAGTCAACAAAATCCTCTTGCGAACACAGAAGGTATAGTTCCTATTACTTGTTGCAAACTGTACACTTAAGTATTTGCGATTACGATTACGTTGAACAACGTCACATTGGAAATTCCTGTGCAGAATTTAATTCTGTAGTCATTGTTGATAATGTCTGCAATGCTAAACTCACGCTGATCTGATCTAAATACGTATTTACTTGAACAGAAACGTCCTTATACAACACATTCAAAGAACTTTCAGTCTCACAACACATTTCATTAACCGGCTTTTCTTCTTTAGTTTGCGTGTTTGCCTCGGTGTTTGCTAATAAAAGAAGCGTGTCGGCTGCTTCCAAACGCACAGCTTTTTCTAACAGTTGTTGTCGACGGACGTAGCGGTCTTCACGTTTTGCCTTAGTTTCATGATTAACTGCCGATTGATGCCGTATTTGAGGTAAATTTCTGCTAGGACAGGCAGTCTTCTTTAAACATTTACGTTTATGTGCAACGTCTAAAAAAAGTAAAATTCATAAAGAAGCACATCATCAAATTACTGCGCTTACCTGGTGAAATATAATCCTCTTTTGTAAAGCGAGCACTACAAACTTTCATTGTATTTGTTATGGGTTTGTCTATTACTCTATTCGTAAAAGAATTTTTCATTTTTTCCTACTCAGAGCATTTTTGGGGAATCCGTGCATTGAGACACTACACGCGTAATCATTTCTACACTGAGGACTGAGCAATAATGATTACTTTTTGTTATTTTTGTGTATTCACGTTTATTACATACGTGAACTTCCATTTTTATCCTCAAACAGATAGTTCTAAAGTTGACCGCTACGCGGAGACTCTTTAGTGTGCGCTTGCGAATAGAGAGCAGTAGATACTCGCACACGGAAAAGGAGAGTCTCGCCCTGGTATGGGCGGGAGAACGTTCTTACTGGGTTGTCTTTTGACTTAGTGACCGACCCCGATCCCTTGGAAGTCATTTTCAAACCTTACTCGAAGCCGCCCTCGAGGATAGAAATGTGGTGATTACGACTGCAGCTCTTCAATTTTAAAGTATTCTACCTGCAGACTGGTAGAGACTGGACAGAGTATTGTGGACGCACTGTCAAGACTTGGTAAACAGACCCACTCAAAACCGCTGAGGACAGCGAGGGGTACATACGAACCCTTATCGAAAGAACAATCTCTAAGGCTGTTCGAATTTCTCAAATATTCACGGAAAGCTGTGCAGACAAACATCTGAAGGAAGCAGAAACGAAAATTTGGAACAATAATTATATTTCCCATTTCGAATGGACCTATCAACCTTTGGTACAGTTGTTCTGAGAGGAAACCAAATAGTGATCCCTGAATCCCTTAGGGAACAAGTGTTGAAACTGGAACATGAAGGACACCCTGGACCAACGGTTCTGAAGCGGAGAGTGCGAGCGAAGGTTTGGTCGAGAATGCCTTCTCGTATCCGAACCAGAGTACCCCAATGGTACGCCATCGGTTTCCGGAGGGACTCAGGCGGTACATTCCCCAGACCTCATGAAAGCGCCGCCCATTCCGGACGAAATCCTAGCTGTAATTGATCATAGACCGGGAGGCAGCGTACATAGTAACTAAACCATAAGCGACAAAAAATTCGACAATACAGGCTGAAAGTACGTTGAAAACTAATAATAAAATCACTCGTCTGCCAGTCGTAAATGGCAGCATTAACTTGGGGCGGCGCTGAATAGGTGACTTCTTTAGGTGATCAACTAAATTAACAAACCATAAGGGTCACGGAAAAGATTTGTATCAAGAAATCTCATTTTTTCCATACTTTTCAAATATGCTATGGCAGACGATTTCAAGTGCAGCGTTGGTAGCGAAAGACGCCCTCCAATGTAGGGAAAAACACCCCTGAACTAAACCATGAGGACCGTATAAAAATTATACATAAAAAATTCCTCTTTTTGTCACCACTTTAAAATATATCCTGGCTGAAGATATTAAGTGTAGCTTTAATAGTGGCAGACGTTCTTAGAAGTTAAAAAATTTAGGTATAGTAAATCCCAGCGAGTGCGAGCGTGTGAGAGATAAGCGCGCGAGAGCACAACGAACAGAGATAGCTATAGATTTACGCACCGTTTGGAGTTACCAAACGAATTAAATTAGGGAAAATAATAAATTGTTTATTTCGCGATAAGATTGTCGGTATTTCTTGAATTCTTCTCAGACTGAGAAACAGAAAACTTGAAGAGAAAAGAAGATAGATCTTCAGCTCGTTCTAAACTATCCTTTGACTCCAGTTCCGTTGTCTCTATCCAACATTGATGGATCGATGATTAAAATCAACAAGTTTGTTTTGCTGAAACTTTTTCGGAAGTATGATTTCTTCAAGTGCTCCTAGTCCATTGCCAGTTGTAGAGGTTGTTTTAATCGATGAATTATTTTTTTTGCATCTTTTAAAAGATCTCCGGTAAACCTTTGAGCGATTTTCTGAACACATCCTCGGCAAGATTTGTGCTGTGTCAGCGAGAGAAGTACATCTTACTTTTGACAGATAGTTACCCCTTCCATGAAGGACGCAGAACATGATCGTTGGGATCAAAATAAGGAAAGATTACAATCCTACTCAATTTCTGTTTCCACTCAGAAGCAGCCTGCAAATTTCATAAAACCATTTCGCAATGATAGCTCAAAACGTCTCTTATAGATTACTTATACCGTTCATAGGCAAAAAGGACCTGTTGCGCTTTACTTGGAAGGAAAGTTGTGTTTGCCACATATGAAGATAAGTGCTATAAATTTGTGAC